TTTTTTTTATTCAATTCAGATAACAAGGGGTTTGGATGACTCTTTAGTCCTGCAAAAAAGGGCACGTAAGTATTACCATATAAATTGGATTTGCTCCTTTTGACATAAATGTGTTGTGTTTTTGGGCGAAACGCTTCAACAATGGCTTCCACGAGCTTATAAAGTACGAACAGCATGAGCAGAAGCCGTAAGATGTTGACAATTACATTAAATAGGGCCTTTCGTTATTATTTCGAACAAAAGACCGTTCCGCGTCTGCGTTTGTTGCTATGCTTGTGTCCGAAACCAGCCCTTTTTCTTACAGATAGTGGTTAATACGTTTAGGCTGTCGAACTGGGAGCGTAGTATTTACATCATTGACTTGACAAAATTTGTGTGACGGAATATCTAGGGCCAGTTCAGTTGCATTGCCGAAACAGATCGGGTTATAAGGTGACTCAGAGAACATGGGTCTATGGGTGGATCCGGGATTTTACAACGGGGTGGGGGGTGAGGGGTTGTGGCTGGGGTTCCAAAATCAATGGGGCATGCCCCAAAAATGTGGCAAATCTAATTGAAAAATGTTACACCCGAAACACTAGCAATAACACAAAGTAGAAGTTACGATGAGGTACCAGCCTTTATTTCCGCCATAATATTCGCATATTTTTTTAATATTTTATTTTTTTGTCTTCCAAAGAGAAGGTGGCTAACTACCCAATCACCAACGNTTTTGTCTTCCAAAGAGAAGGTAGCTAACTACCCAATCACCACCGCCCCGCCCCAAAAAAAAATCCGTCCCTTAGGTCTTGTATCTTAGATTTAAAACAAGTAAAATTGATATTATTGCTTAAAAAAGGATTGATCCCTACCCATGATCCGACCTCCAGCCGATAGCAGTAAAACCTCAGGATGAGCACACATGTCAGACGGATGCAAGGGTAAAGCTCATGGTTGAGTAGGACAGGGATTTGAGTAGAGTTAACAATTTCACTTTGGCAAAAGTTGCCTTTCCAGAAACATGTGCTAACTTAACCAGTGAAAATGTCTCTGGGGGGGAGGGGGGGAATGACACCATTAGGCATGGAAATGAAACGATACAATTTGTGAAGACGGCGATAATAGAAGCTAGGCTCAAAAGGAGTCTTGGTCGGTACGAATTGGAAACCCAACACAGAACCAGAGATGGCGAGGTATCAGAATACCTATTTCATTGAAAAAGTAGCTCAGTCATGGTATTTTGGCCAAGTACAAAATTATCGTTGAAATGAGGGAAACCCTAAAATAGTAGTTTACTAAGATAGAAAAACAACTAAGAGATAATAATAAACCATAAAGGAACAAGGATGGTTAAGGATGGAGGAGATTAATACGGTTTGCAAACGACCATCTTGAAAAATTTAGGCTTAACTTTTCGACATGCGCAAACCGTGACGTGGCTCCTTTAACGATACGCTTTGCATACTTATTTAAAAAAAACGTAAGAGAGCTGATTATATGTACATCTAATTTTTACTCTATATCGCGTGGATCATTTACAGTAGGGAAATTTTATGGTATCTAAATCTTAACTTAGTTACCATAGTAACAGTAAGTAAAGACAAAGGTAGACTGGCACTGTTACAAATAATCCTGTCCTTTCCTCATGAAAAAGTCATCTTGAAACTCCAGATTATTTTAGGGGGCTCACAATCTGTTGGCTCCTGGTAATATGAACGATTTCATTTTTACAAATAACAGGCCGGAGAAATAAATGATCCTTAATTTATCCCCTACCATGCAATATGATTATTCCCAAACTGCACGGCATGAATTAAGTCTTTTTTTCTAGCTTATCGCCTGTCAATGATAAATTACCAGTTAAAGAACTTTATGACTCTTTTTCAGTTGAAAAATCAGTGATATTTTGTATCAGTTCTCACAGAAACACTTCAAGTATCTTTCCTAATCGCATATGCAGTGACCCAGTGATAAGAAAAAGATATGGGGCTTTTATCCTGTTCGCTCAGTCCAATTAAATAAGCAACTAATTAAGGTAGAGACCACAATTTTCTTATTAGGTCTTATGTCATTAATCTAATTAGCTTCTCATCTGTCTCTGAAGACTTTAATGAGAAGTTTTTAACACAAATCTTTTATTCATAACACGCAAAACTAGAAAACGTGATTAGATAACTTTATCAAGTTGATGATATTAGCATCAAACATGCGGCCACGTACGGCCGGTAGCATACGGCTATAGAGCAGTTTTTGTTGCTTTTTCGTTTTGCCGTTTAGAGAAGGGAAAAATATTATATGGCCTAGTAAAAACATGGAATTGTATTGTATTTTCTCTTGCGATAACCGAAAGCATAATGTTTTTTTATCGCGAGACATTTCCTATGTCTTTTCAGGTTACGGATTGTGTTCCAATTTGGTAACAATGGAAGTCTCCTGTCCAATGAAAAATGGGTGCGTGTCAAAGTTAAGTACAAAAGGTTGGTCAACTCGTACACGCGGCCCCCTTCTACTATTGCCATCATCGCAAGAAGAAGTTTTCCTCTATTTAGCGTCAAGGACGTTCGCGCGAAAATTTTCCTGTCGATAATTTTTTTTCTAAATTCACTGCAGTCAGATAATGAGATAATTTTGTCAGAAATGCAAAAATAATTGGGGGTCACCGACTTTGTTTCAGAGAAACAGGTGGAAAACTAGCCTGATTTTGAAAAATTGGCGCACGTAATTCAGCATGGTCTACAAGGGTTTATAGCTAAAAATATCGAAGGTGAGTCAACGGAGGCAAACGATCTTAGTCATATTTTGTAGAAGTGGGTCTGTTGCGTAAATGGTTCCAAATGTTACCAACGTTTTCACAAAACGTAACCCTTCAAGAGGCATTTGAAACCGTCGCACAGAGAAACAACGAGCTAAACAGAACGGAATTCGATGGTACATTTTGCAAAAAATTCAAACTGCTAATCGATAGATTTTCTTCATTTTTTCGCTAAACGTGGAAAGTCGGTTAAGAAAATGATCTATCAAAAGAAAAATAGGCGTCACCGAACGTCCAAGATCGTTAAATCCAGGCAAAGCTATAGCAATGGCCATCTGCCCTATCATTGTTCATTTTATTGCTCAGCGCGCGGATCGATGCATGACGTGGCGTGTGAATCTGCGTTTTTTGCGCAGAAACAATTAGCGCGGACGTCCTTAAGACGTATTTACCCTTTTYCCTCCACCTTCCCGGTCAAGTATTTTCTTTAGTTTTTACTGGTGGCGAAAGTTTTATCTCCACCTTTCCTGAAGAGATTTTAATCTTTGTTTGTAACCTCAGTTTCAATTAAACTCGTCACATTTGTGGCCATTTATCCCAAACGATTTGTTTCTATTGTCGTCTACCTATCTCTTCAGCAAACTAGTGCGACGCCTTGCGGAGCCCTCGATGTCTTAATGTTTGCAAATGACTCAAGATAAAATGTTTTTAAAATTTCGCAAATTTCAGCCTCAATATTCTTGTAAAATATATTTTTAAAAAAGTATAGTCGAAGAACTTTCGGGCACGTAAAATTTGGCTTTTGCGCAGTGTAAGAGATCAGATTAATGTTTAAAAATTACCAAGCACTGAATCGTCTTGTAGTGTGTGGTTAATGAAATAATACTATTTAAAGCGGCCACGTCATAGCTCACAAAATTTCTCACAAACCGAAAACTTGGTCATTCGTTTATCATTTCGCCCCGACCCGCCAAGAAGATGATATCCCAGTACCAATTAACTTCTCCACGATACATACTCTACCGTTTTATGTCGCCCTAACTGTTATTTTTTTAAGGGCTTTGAGAGTTTGACAGACTAGCCCATTAAAATTTTGCATGTGTCTTAAAATATCTCGTTTCAATTCGGCCACTCACTCATACAAAGTCAGATGCTGTTCCAAAGAATAAAGACTCTTAGACAGAATGAAATATGCACACCAGTATTATAACAGTTGTGAATTGTGAGATTCGATAATCTTGTTTACGAGCGTAATGGGCATTGTTCGCTGACAAAACACAAATTAAAATAATGCGCACCTCCCCCAACCNCCCCCTCCATCAACTGATTCTAGGAAATTATGACTTGACTGTTTAGCATAAGAGATTTATCATCGGTTTAGTCGTGATTAACGAAACAATGGAGTTTAAAGCGGCAACCACATCTTGCATCACGAAACCGGCGTCTTGCAAAACTCGTTTGTCAAATTGCTCAGAACGGCAGAAAAGCCTGCAAAAATAATCCTATTGACGAGAAATTCACAAATACTCTCTCGTTTATGATTGCATGACACTGACCCGCCTTTTTAGCTGCCTTTCCGCTCAAATGAGGCTGAAACGAACAAAATGAACAGACTCTGCCGAGGTTTAAATTAATTTGCGTCATTTAAAAAAAAAGAAAATGAATTAAAAAACAAAACAAAAGAAAAGAAAAAACATTACACGTCGTTGAATGATCGTTTTAGTAATGCCGTATTGTAGACGCTTTTTAAGTAAAAGAAACTAACCCTAAGTATCTGAAATTTATACAACAAAGTAATTATTGTCAACTTAAGCAAATTAGATCATTCAAGCCTAAAATAATGTATATGATTGCTTTACATAATTCATCTTTATCGAGACAGCTGAGCTCATAAAAGCTCTGCTGTGTCTTGTCTGTTGATATACAGCTGATTGTCTGTGAAGAATTGGAGCTTTGAAAGTCACCCTTAAAATAGCCTTTAAAGGTATGTGGCATGGTTGTCGTTCAATCGCTAGATTCTACCACAGATATTTAGTTCCTTGTATCCTGTGAACTAGCCTTCTTTGCTACTCAAGTCCATTGAAAACAATGCTCCACCTAGATCGATAAGGACCGAGAGATACTTCTCGCTGAGTTGCAAAGCACATCAAACCTTCGCGCGCGCGATGGCGACTCTCCTAAAGAACCCAACTCGAAGAAGATTAATCACTAGTGCCATTTTAACACCTGATACAAATTTGAAAACTTATTTAAAAGTGACCACATATATGATATGCTAGTTTATAATCTATAGTTTTAAAATCAATTTGTATTGCTTTGAAAAAGAAATTGTACGATCAACTCCCTAAAGTACTGACACAAAATTAGCTTGTCCAGTTTCTGGTGGCTGATTTAGGGAAAAACTTTTAAAATCTTGAAGCATGAATGCCATATTTTGGGTCTTTAAACTTTTAAAGGCATCAAGCAATGAAATAAGTCAACCATAAAAAGTGACGCGGAGTACACTTTATACAACATACTTTTTATTTTGGACCTTTTGTTGTTCTGTTATCATATTCAAATTTCATCATTGTTCATGATATTTGTTTGGTTTTCTTGATTTTTCTTTGAATTTGCGACACTTACAATTCTTGAATTGCTTTGCCTGTTAGCTTCATTCACATGTATGCGAACTCCTGACTATTGCAGTGTCCGTGCTGAATCGAACTGCTATGCATAATGCCCGATACTAAGTGGTTACGTAATTCAGTCGAAGACAAGGGAAACAAACACCAGTTACGTAAATCAGTTTGGCTTGTTATCAATCCGTTCTTTTGTCGTATACGCAGAAGTGGTACTTAAACTCGTTCTGTGACGTCACCTCACACAACTTTCGCTGCCACTTAGATATTTAGACACTTAGTTTGTTTCGCCTCCAACCATTTCTACAAGCGAGTATGTATGTCGCCTAGATCTAATCTTTTGGTAAGTATCAAGAACGCGAACTCTGGCCCTGAGTGCCGATGTGAAAGTCAGTGATACACGGACTTCTGGGAGTTTTAACGAGCGACCCTGGAAAGTTCCGATTGGAAGTCCGAAAATACCGGACTTCCGGCTGGATTGCGCATGCCTAGCTGACAAATACGTGGCTCAGTCGCTCAGTCGAGTCACTCATTTCCGTTGTTTTTATGGCCAAAAAATTCAAGCTTGCAACGGAACTCTCCAGAGTCTCTCGTTTCGTCCAGCTTGCGCAGTAACGAACGAAGACTCGAGGAACGAGATTTTTCTTTCCTACAGATGCTTTTGATGATCAGTTTCATAGTTTTTGGAGCATGCGTCGTGTCCAGTAGTCCCGTGGAAAGAAGATACTCCACTCAGGTAATAAAAAATACCCGGGAGGTTAATGTATTAAATATAAGGGCGCGTTTCCTAATTGAAATGGAAGCTGTTTTTTACGTAAACACAGTCATGTTTAATTTGCTAGCAGAGTAGGAAAGATCGAAGTGGCTCTGCTGGCAGGGTAAGTCACGTTACACTTGAAACCAAAGCATCAAATTACACGATACTTACACACTGTAAGCTTGTTATAATCTCTCGAAGTTTCTCATCAGACTCCCTCTGCATCATGGTCAAAAAGTATTGCGGGGAGGGGGTGGGCCGGAGCAGAGATGGGGTGGGTAATTACTTTTATGAGCCCCTGATAAGGGGTGGATCGTTCCATTTCCAGCTACCCATGGAGGTGGGTGTTTTATAACAGAAACTGGCACGAATTTGACACAATCGACAACAGAAGTTTAAACTCCCTCTAGTTCCAAAGGACGAAAATTTTTCGAGCCGTTATCAGTATCTTTTTCGGGCCACTGGAAATATTTATTGGTTTAGTTTTTCAAATTGGTACTTTATTAATGCTGTGATTACTAAAAGGAAAAGTAAAAGCCGTCCTGTCGATCAATTCAGAGGACGTAAGATATATCGCAAACTAATTATTTCGCAGTGTTATTTATAGAGATAAAATATTTGTTACTGTCAGGAACCAAGAGATCTTGACTTCCAAGATCATTTAGAGTTCCAAGATGACTCTCTTGCTTTAAAAGAACGGGGTAAGAAATAACTAGGAATAACTAAGGTAATTTCTGTGTGTAGAAATTCATTCACTCTTATTGTAGGTTAGCCTGATTCTCTGACGTCCGAGGTCGTTCGCGGCCACTTCGCTTCCACTCGAGAGAGAGAGAGGGGAAGCGAAGTGGCCGCGAACGACCTCGGACGTCTGAGAATCTGGCTAATTGTAGGTGAATAAGATATAAATTCAGAGATGCACGAAAATCTCTCTTTTGTAAATGATCCAAGCAAATATGGAGTAATAAATCTGAACATATAACTTAGTATTAATTCATAAGGACTTCTTTTGTTATTGCGTCGAGCAGGCTCATAGGTTTTTCAAGAACTCCCAGTCTCTTGCTCTAGGCAGGTCTTACCAATCTTCAGTTACTGACCAAAATGTTTGAATTCTTTTGAGGTCAGCCTCTATCATTTCCTTCTTCAAGGACTGTATCGCATCATTCTTGACAGATTACTATGTGCCAGACACATTTTTATTAATCCAGTTTGCTTGTAAAACGTTTGCAATAGGAGCCTTTTACAAAGTGAGTTTGTTAGCCCTATTGAAATCCCAAACTAAGAACTCTACTCTAACACCTGTCTGACTTGTGTGCAAAAACCCGGAGTTTTAGCTCCCATGGCTACCCCTCTGAGTTTAGAGGTTCCCAATCGATATCCATTACCATCCCTATCTGTCTGTTACCCAGTGTGTAAATAAAGAAAATCCGGAGGAGGTCCAACAAGTCGTTAGAGTGAAGCAATTCATATAAAAAGGTGTTTTATTTTTACATTCATTTTGGTGCAAATCAAACTCATTTTCAAAAAACTTTTTTGCACGAAAACTCTTTTTTCGAAAAGAGGCAAAAAGCAATTCGGAAGTAACCTATTTCTGTATATCAGATCGATGTATATTTCAGTTTCTCTCCTTTTGACCAATCACATTCCTTTACATTCGAACGAATGTATACCAGCACTTGGGAGAAATTAAGCAAGAGATCATTTATGGGTTTAAATATATAGTTTGCTTGATTATTTTTAGGATCTCAGGGTTGTAAATACGATGGTGAGACGTACGAAAAAGGTACACTCCTTAATATAACTTCAAAAGGGATATGTCACCTTCACCAATGTAAGAGAAGAAAGTTCCGCAAAGTGAACGAAAAAATACTTCAGTACTGTGATGAACCATGCGAGCTGGGATGGCTTCCTGGATGTTGTTTGTGCAAGAGGAAAAGTTAGTTTGCATTCACAATTTTGTTAAAATCATATATCAGTGCAGTCACTTACTATAGTTACTTAAATTCTTTTTTCCTATTCTTTTGTTCCATTCCCCTTTTTCTCCTTTTTCTATTTTCCATTACTTCCTTGAGCTTTCATTCCCAGTTTCTACTCTTCGATTTCCACTGATTTTTGATTGTCTATTTTTATTTCTTCGTAAGTTGTTTATTCTCAGTACACATGAGTCTATTCTCTGTAAACTGTTCATTCCTTATTCGCAAATCTTATTCCTTTACTATGCTTTATATTTCATTCATGACTCCTTCCAGCTTCATTACCCAATAGCCGTCAAAGTTCATCATTCATTGCACGTTCTTCATTCTCCGTTATACCTTCCTTACTCTCAAAATCTTCGTCGTCCGTTCCTCGTCATCATCATCGTCATCATCATCGTCATCATCATCGTCATTATCATCATCATCATCATTATCATCCGTCGTAAAGCCATATTTAACTCGTGAATTTCGCATGCCCAATGAACGAGTTATCGTGATCAACGGAAAATACGGGCGCTCTCTCGCACGATCGTTCATATTATATAGATGTTGATGAAATACCGAGATTTTTCTTGTTCCTAAAATTTGATTTCTTCGTCGTTCAAAGCCGTGAGGATACTATTTTTATATTTCATATGTAAGGATATCGACGTGGTCATGGTTACGACATGTCAGCCAATAATATTAGAGCATCCTGTTCGCGCGCGACGTCGTGCGAGATGTTTGATGATGTTTATTTTACTTGGACGCACACTTAGCTATGGTAACGATGCGTCCCATAGACTTGATAAGCAGAGCCTTCAGAACGTACCAGCTAGTTTACAGGAGAGCCAAGAAAACAATGTAACAACGTAAAAATGTATAATTGGGTATAAATATTTAACTAAATTATAAGAACTGTAATAAAATTTAAAAATATGTTAACTTACTACTTGGGGATACGATTGCTCTAGGTATCTCTCACGTGTGAGCTCAGCGAACGAGTGCGGGATAGCATGAGCGCTAGCTCTCGAAGTTAAAATTCGTAACCCCGCGCGGTCATGTAATATCCTCTATATTAGCATTATTTCATAATAACAATATTGATTGACAGGTTGCGAAAACAACAGGAAACCTGGGGACACATGGATGCAGGTTAAAAAGTTGACAGGGCCAAATGAAGGCATTTGCTCTCGCTGTCGATGTGGACCAGATAACAAAGAGTATTGTTGGGACAATGAATTTTCCTGCTCAATACCAGGATGTCAAGAGACAGAAAAGGAGCCGATGCCAGATTCTTGCTGTCCAAAGTGCAGTATGTGTTAGCCAAGCATTTAGTGTTTTTTGTTGTCTTATTGTCTTCCTTAACTAGGCATGCTGTAAAAGGTGCTTGTTAAGGATCGAGAGGTCTGGGTTCGAGCCCTGGCCGTTGTGTTGTGTTCTTGGCAAAGAAACTTTACTTTCACAGTGCCTCTCTCCACCCAGATGTATAAATGGGTACCGGCGAATTTAATGCTGGGAGTAAGCCTGCAATGGACTAGCATCCCATTCAGGGAGGTGTAGAAGTACTCCTAGTTGCTTCATGCTACAGAAACTGTAGAATTGCGGCGGCCTGATGGTGTAATTGCGGCGGCCTGATGGTGTAATTGACTCGTATGCAGACTGTGGTTGACTAGAAATCGTTTAAGGCGTGGTGTCTGATGCATGGAACTGGGTCTGGGTTTGAGACCTGGCTTGAATCCTAAATCTCTCATTGTCTCTTCGGATTTAGGAATACAAATGTGTACCGGAAAATGTTAGCCAAGTTATGACCTGACCATTAAAACAATATCCTGTTACAGACCTGCCTTATAATCAGTCCTCTGATTCAGACCGAAGTAAAAGGCATTGTAGATTGCAATAACCATACCCTATTTGAGACCAAAATGGCCAAAATCGATACCCTATTTACGACCAAAATGTCTGAAAACCATACCCTTTGGGCTCGCACATACTTACCGGCAGCCCATGTAAGGGAGTACCTTCCGAGGAGTTCCAGATACGGTTTTGTCATTAGTAGGGGTTGAGCTTGGTGGAATTTTTATGGTTGTACTGTCCTTTACGTAATCCGGCGTGCAATACCAGCTCGTTCATCAACTATAGAGCCGTTTTCAACCACAGTTTCAAACCGAATATGTAATTGTTTTGGTTTCACTTTGCTACGTTCTGTGTGATTAGCTTAAACCAACTCACGACGCTTACTAAAAAACTTGTAGCTATCACNAGTGCAGTATGTGTTAGCCAAGCATTTAGTGTTTTTTGTTGTCTTATTGTCTTCCTTAACTAGGCATGCTGTAAAAGGTGCTTGTTAAGGATCGAGAGGTCTGGGTTCGAGCCCTGGCCGTTGTGTTGTGTTCTTGGCAAAGAAACTTTACTTTCACAGTGCCTCTCTCCACCCAGATGTATAAATGGGTACCGGCGAATTTAATGCTGGGAGTAAGCCTGCAATGGACTAGCATCCCATTCAGGGAGGTGTAGAAGTACTCCTAGTTGCTTCATGCTACAGAAACTGTAGAATTGCGGCGGCCTGATGGTGTAATTGCGGCGGCCTGATGGTGTAATTGACTCGTATGCAGACTGTGGTTGACTAGAAATCGTTTAAGGCGTGGTGTCTGATGCATGGAACTGGGTCTGGGTTTGAGACCTGGCTTGAATCCTAAATCTCTCATTGTCTCTTCGGATTTAGGAATACAAATGTGTACCGGAAAATGTTAGCCAAGTTATGACCTGACCATTAAAACAATATCCTGTTACAGACCTGCCTTATAATCAGTCCTCTGATTCAGACCGAAGTAAAAGGCATTGTAGATTGCAATAACCATACCCTATTTGAGACCAAAATGGCCAAAATCGATACCCTATTTACGACCAAAATGTCTGAAAACCATACCCTTTGGGCTCGCACATACTTACCGGCAGCCCATGTAAGGGAGTACCTTCCGAGGAGTTCCAGATACGGTTTTGTCATTAGTAGGGGTTGAGCTTGGTGGAATTTTTATGGTTGTACTGTCCTTTACGTAATCCGGCGTGCAATACCAGCTCGTTCATCAACTATAGAGCCGTTTTCAACCACAGTTTCAAACCGAATATGTAATTGTTTTGGTTTCACTTTGCTACGTTCTGTGTGATTAGCTTAAACCAACTCACGACGCTTACTAAAAAACTTGTAGCTATCACAACCTGGTCATTGGTGTTTTCTCATGCTAGGCGCCGTATGTGTTTCGCGTAATTGTGATTGGTAAATTTCTTCTAATAGCCGTTTTCACGTCAGTTTAACTTTTCACATTTACATTACAACTAAGCTAATGTAATCTAGCATGTATGTGAGGCAATTTGATTTTGGCGATTTGGTAGTTTCTGCTCGAAGCTGCGTCGCATCCATATTGGATAGAATTGTAAAGCAACTGAAAAACGTTAACTATGAAAAGGGCTATCGCTTTGTTTTGCCTTTAATAAACTCAATTTTTAACAGAACTCTTGTTATGTGTGTCAACTTCTGCATTTTTTTTAGAAAAAGCACAGCTGCGAATTATATCATTCTTATCCTTCTGAAACTTGTTTTCAGAAATATGGAAAAAGCCAAAAACGACAACCCAGCCTTGGATTACAATTCCAATAACGTTAACAACGGAAGGAACTACAGAGCCGTACCCGTTTACATTCCCTCCTGGCTTTGACTCCAGTGAAGACGAAAACCGTTAAAAGATGTAAGGAGAATGTTGGTGTAAACATTTTGAGCAGATACACACGCATTTGCGGTACTTCAAGGTTTTCTTAACTTGCGCCGAGAGCGGCTTTGCTGTAAGGCTTGCTCCACAAGGCTCAGCACTAGTGATTTACACAGCCCACCCGAGGGACAAATCAGACTTATATGACTGAACAGTTTGCATTACAGCCGATTGTCCTTGAACATCACTATCTGATACCCTCCATGACTGCTTTAATAGTCGTTATTGTTGAGAAAAGATCGTTACACTTAAAAATATGCCAAGCAAACCCTAGGAAATCCCACACTACTAATACCCTACTGTAAGAGTTTATTTTCGGTCTTTGGCATAAAAGTTCAACGCGGCTCTAACCATCACCTTATCTCAGACGAACAATCATAATTTTCCATTAAAATTACATGACGTATTCTGTAATGTTAGTCTCCTTTCCTACAGCACTACCTTTTCAAAAATGTTCTTTTCCAGAGGCCTGGCAAAATCGAAAACGGTTCGGATAGCATACCAACCCTTTGAGGCGGTACTTCTGTACAAATTAAGAACGTGAACCCCTCCTTCTCCAGGTCATCAGCGGGTAAAATTACATAACTTAGTTTATGCTAACAATGGTCTTTTCTCTTTGCAGGACATTTTTCTTGGACATGTATTACCGCTAAGAGCCAAGAGTAGTTTAACCAATATTTGCTTGCTTGTAATGAAATGTGCATGACATACACGAGTTGTAGTGGGCACATTTCGATAGATAGAATTAAGTGCTTGCAATAAAAGTCACAACGAAAAGTGCTTTGCCTTTTTTTATCTCCTGGAGTTCGATTCTTCAAAACGTCACTAAATTAATTATTCCAGTTGCCCCTGGAGCTCTCCTTCAAATTACTTGGAGAAATCTGGAAGATCTTGAGGTCCGCAATACCAGGGTATATTAAATCCAGAAAATGTAAAGCCGTGGGTCCTTATTTCAAAAGGTTTGTCTGCGAAAGCAAATTTGACTGAATGGTGAACGCCTCAGCCTTAAATTTTGTCTGGTTTTTCGAATATCATAAATTACTACTATCCTTGATAATTGCTTCTGATTGGTTGCAATTAGAAGCGGATCAATTTATCCCAACATTAATGACATCGATTGTTAATTACATTTAAACAATTAAAGTTTAATTGTCTTAGTTACATTTCAGCAATGAAGTCAGCTCCTAGTAATGAAAGTGAACTTGCCCCATATAAAGCTTCCCGGTTAGCCATTTTAGTCAAACAAAAGCTATACTTAATACGAAGAAGCACGCAGTAAACAAAAACACACGAAAAATCAACCGAAACTTAGCTCCGCACGTACTTGGAGCGGACTTATGAGAGGCATTGAAAATCTCTCGCCCCAAGATCTTTATGAAATTCTCGAGGATTTCTAAACCGAGCTAAAGAAAGTGTTTTAGTATGAGGCTTTGTCTTTAGAATTACACTTTTATCGTTTCAAATTAAAATGCATTTCCTTTCCATTTACTGTAGATCATTCATCAAAACGTCGCTCGTAGGTTTAGAGTTTTGACAGCTTTCAAGTCAATGAAATTGAACGTAATGATGCAAACTTGGGACTTGCTCGTCTTTCTCGCTCGTTTGCGAACGAAAGGAATTATTTTACTGAGAATTAAACGAAAAGTGTAGGGAGAATTAAAGTTAGAAAACTAAAATATTTAATCACATCATGGCTTCATTTTAGCAACCCTCTATAACAAGAGGATAATGGAATGTACGGTTGCTGTATGTCCGAAAGGAAGTCGCTCTTTATCTCGAAACAATTAGGAATGAATTGTGATTCAGTGAACAGATCGGACTTTTTCTAATTTCCACTTGTGGCTGCGGAAGCCACTCATGGAAATCACTAAGAAGTCTGATCTGTTCACGCGTACAATTAATCCGCTATTGTTTTCCAAACAGACCGATTTCCTATTCTTATCACTGTAACACGCATTATTTGTCAAAGACTCCGTTATTTGTCTGTATATAATTTAGTCTTAAGGTTTCTGGGAAACCGTATCGCACACAAAAACTCAAAATCAATCAGAATAGCTTTAGCCAGACCACTAAACTTTGAGAGTATACCAACAAAATAAGAGCGAATATCGCACGAAAATGAGACTATTCCGCAGTGAATCATAGTAGTGGTTATCGATCCTTCTCGTCCACAGGGACCGCGCTCCTTTTGGTCAGCAGTGACCAAAAGGAGCGTGGCCCTGGGGTAGAGAATGAACGTTGCCAAGTCTTTAGAGTGCGTGCGGACTTGTTTTACTTTTGAGTTCATTTTTATTTTTTACTTCTTCTCGTCAAACAAAGGAAACAGTGCACGTATCAAGGCAGGCTAACAGGTCTTTGGTTAAAATAACAGCTAATATAATTCCCTGCCGGTAAACCTCATAAGAGCCTATTGGACATAGGGTGGTTTTTATGACTGATTGTTTATCATAAGAGATCAAATTAATATTTGTCAGGTCTTAATTAAGTATTTTATTCACGATTAATGAAATGATATTAGTCATCGTGGAATACGGAGTCTAATCAGCCCCGTCGTGACTCCGTGAAATTCTCTTGGAACGAAAATAGAACTGCGGAGAAATACTCAAAGCTTTATACAACAATCAACGTGATATTTGGTGAATGTGGAGTGGCTGCAGCCGTTTTTACTTGAAGCTCAACTGCGGTGAATATGGACAACATTATCGCCATCTGAGGAGGCGTATTTGCGTCATTTAAAACGTCTGATGCTTATTAAATCCAATTTAGTCAGGAGCCCAATGGGCTCCTGATTCAGTATAGTACTGGAGCCGCTTCCGGACAGCTGAAGAATTAAAAAAGTCAAAACTTTTATTTAACAAAGAAATTACTGATCCGTACAAGTATAACATTAAACAAAAGTAGCTTAAGCGATTTAATCAATGAAAAACCTAAAATTCAATTTACTTTGCATATTTACTTATATTGATGCGAAACNAAAGGTACACTCCTTAATATAACTTCAAAAGGGATATGTCACCTTCACCAATGTAAGAGAAGAAAGTTCCGCAAAGTGAACGAAAAAATACTTCAGTACTGTGATGAACCATGCGAGCTGGGATGGCTTCCTGGATGTTGTTTGTGCAAGAGGAAAAGTTAGTTTGCATTCACAATTTTGTTAAAATCATATATCAGTGCAGTCACTTACTATAGTTACTTAAATTCTTTTTTCCTATTCTTTTGTTCCATTCCCCTTTTTCTCCTTTTTCTATTTTCCATTACTTCCTTGAGCTTTCATTCCCAGTTTCTACTCTTCGATTTCCACTGATTTTTGATTGTCTATTTTTATTTCTTCGTAAGTTGTTTATTCTCAGTACACATGAGTCTATTCTCTGTAAACTGTTCATTCCTTATTCGCAAATCTTATTCCTTTACTATGCTTTATATTTCATTCATGACTCCTTCCAGCTTCATTACCCAATAGCCGTCAAAGTTCATCATTCATTGCACGTTCTTCATTCTCCGTTATACCTTCCTTACTCTCAAAATCTTCGTCGTCCGTTCCTCGTCATCATCATCGTCATCATCATCGTCATCATCATCGTCATTATCATCATCATCATCATTATCATCCGTCGTAAAGCCATATTTAACTCGTGAATTTCGCATGCCCAATGAACGAGTTATCGTGATCAACGGAAAATACGGGCGCTCTCTCGCACGATCGTTCATATTATATAGATGTTGATGAAATACCGAGATTTTTCTTGTTCCTAAAATTTGATTTCTTCGTCGTTCAAAGCCGTGAGGATACTATTTTTATATTTCATATGTAAGGATATCGACGTGGTCATGGTTACGACATGTCAGCCAATAATATTAGAGCATCCTGTTCGCGCGCGACGTCGTGCGAGATGTTTGATGATGTTTATTTTACTTGGACGCACACTTAGCTATGGTAACGATGCGTCCCATAGACTTGATAAGCAGAGCCTTCAGAACGTACCAGCTAGTTTACAGGAGAGCCAAGAAAACAATGTAACAACGTAAAAATGTATAATTGGGTATAAATATTTAACTAAATTATAAGAACTGTAATAAAATTTAAAAATATGTTAACTTACTACTTGGGGATACGATTGCTCAAGGTATCTCTCACGTGTGAGCTCAGCGAACGAGTGCGGGATAGCATGAGCGCTAGCTCTCGAAGTTAAAATTCGTAACCCCGCGCGGTCATGTAATATCCTCTATATTAGCATTATTTCATAATAACAATATTGATTGACAGGTTGCGAAAACAACAGGAAACCTGGGGACACATGGATGCAGGTTAAAAAGTTGACAGGGCCAAATGAAGGCATTTGCTCTCGCTGTCGATGTGGACCAGATAACAAAGAGTATTGTTGGGACAATGAATTTTCCTGCTCAATACCAGGATGTCAAGAGACAGAAAAGGAGCCGATGCCAGATTCTTGCTGTCCAAAGTGCAGTATGTGTTAGCCAAGCATTTAGTGTTTTTTGTTGTCTTATTGTCTTCCTTAACTAGGCATGCTGTAAAAGGTGCTTGTTAAGGATCGAGAGGTCTGGGTTCGAGCCCTGGCCGTTGTGTTGTGTTCTTGGCAAAGAAACTTTACTTTCACAGTGCCTCTCTCCACCCAGATGTATAAATGGGTACCGGCGAATTTAATGCTGGGAGTAAGCCTGCAATGGACTAGCATCCCATTCAGGGAGGTGTAGAAGTACTCCTAGTTGCTTCATGCTACAGAAACTGTAGAATTGCGGCGGCCTGATGGTGTAATTGCGGCGGCCTGATGGTGTAATTGACTCGTATGCAGACTGTGGTTGACTAGAAATCGTTTAAGGCGTGGTGTCTGATGCATGGAACTGGGTCTGGGTTTGAGACCTGGCTTGAATCCTAAATCTCTCATTGTCTCTTCGGATTTAGGAATACAAATGTGTACCGGAAAATGTTAGCCAAGTTATGACCTGACCATTAAAACAATATCCTGTTACAGACCTGCCTTATAATCAGTCCTCTGATTCAGACCGAAGTAAAAGGCATTGTAGATTGCAATAACCATACCCTATTTGAGACCAAAATGGCCAAAATCGATACCCTATTTACGACCAAAATGTCTGAAAACCATACCCTTTGGGCTCGCACATACTTACCGGCAGCCCATGTAAGGGAGTACCTTCCGAGGAGTTCCAGATACGGTTTTGTCATTAGTAGGGGTTGAGCTTGGTGGAATTTTTATGGTTGTACTGTCCTTTACGTAATCCGGCGTGCAATACCAGCTCGTTCATCAACTATAGAGCCGTTTTCAACCACAGTTTCAAACCGAATATGTAATTGTTTTGGTTTCACTTTGCTACGTTCTGTGTGATTAGCTTAAACCAACTCACGACGCTTACTAAAAAACTTGTAGCTATCACAACCTGGTCATTGGTGTTTTCTCATGCTAGGCGCCGTATGTGTTTCGCGTAATTGTGATTGGTAAATTTCTTCTAATAGCCGTTTTCACGTCAGTTTAACTTTTCACATTTACATTACAACTAAGCTAATGTAATCTAGCATGTATGTGAGGCAATTTGATTTTGGCGATTTGGTAGTTTCTGCTCGAAGCTGCGTCGCATCCATATTGGATAGAATTGTAAAGCAACTGAAAAACGTTAACTATGAAAAGGGCTATCGCTTTGTTTTGCCTTTAATAAACTCAATTTTTAACAGAACTCTTGTTATGTGTGTCAACTTCTGCATTTTTTTTAGAAAAAGCACAGCTGCGAATTATATCATTCTTATCCTTCTGAAACTTGTTTTCAGAAATATGGAAAAAGCCAAAAACGACAACCCAGCCTTGGATTACAATTCCAATAACGTTAACAACGGAAGGAACTACAGAGCCGTACCCGTTTACATTCCCTCCTGGCTTTGACTCCAGTGAAGACGAAAACCGTTAAAAGATGTAAGGAGAATGTTGGTGTAAACATTTTGAGCAGATACACACGCATTTGCGGTACTTCAAGGTTTTCTTAACTTGCGCCGAGAGCGGCTTTGCTGTAAGGCTTGCTCCACAAGGCTCAGCACTAGTGATTTACACAGCCCACCCGAGGGACAAATCAGACTTATATGACTGAACAGTTTGCATTACAGCCGATTGTCCTTGAACATCACTATCTGATACCCTCCATGACTGCTTTAATAGTCGTTATTGTTGAGAAAAGATCGTTACACTTAAAAATATGCCAAGCAAACCCTAGGAAATCCCACACTACTAATACCCTACTGTAAGAGTTTATTTTCGGTCTTTGGCATAAAAGTTCAACGCGGCTCTAACCATCACCTTATCTCAGACGAACAATCATAATTTTCCATTAAAATTACATGACGTATTCTGTAATGTTAGTCTCCTTTCCTACAGCACTACCTTTTCAAAAATGTTCTTTTCCAGAGGCCTGGCAAAATCGAAAACGGTTCGGATAGCATACCAACCCTTTGAGGCGGTACTTCTGTACAAATTAAGAACGTGAACCCCTCCTTCTCCAGGTCATCAGCGGGTAAAATTACATAACTTAGTTTATGCTAACAATGGTCTTTTCTCTTTGCAGGACATTTTTCTTGGACATGTATTACCGCTAAGAGCCAAGAGTAGTTTAACCAATATTTGCTTGCTTGTAATGAAATGTGCATGACATACACGAGTTGTAGTGGGCACATTTCGATAGATAGAATTAAGTGCTTGCAATAAAAGTCACAACGAAAAGTGCTTTGCCTTTTTTTATCTCCTGGAGTTCGATTCTTCAAAACGTCACTAAATTAATTATTCCAGTTGCCCCTGGAGCTCTCCTTCAAATTACTTGGAGAAATCTGGAAGATCTTGAGGTCCGCAATACCAGGGTATATTAAATCCAGAAAATGTAAAGCCGTGGGTCCTTATTTCAAAAGGTTTGTCTGCGAAAGCAAATTTGACTGAATGGTGAACGCCTCAGCCTTAAATTTTGTCTGGTTTTTCGAATATCATAAATTACTACTATCCTTGATAATTGCTTCTGATTGGTTGCAATTAGAAGCGGATCAATTTATCCCAACATTAATGACATCGATTGTTAATTACATTTAAACAATTAAAGTTTAATTGTCTTAGTTACATTTCAGCAATGAAGTCAGCTCCTAGTAATGAAAGTGAACTTGCCCCATATAAAGCTTCCCGGTTAGCCATTTTAGTCAAACAAAAGCTATACTTAATACGAAGAAGCACGCAGTAAACAAAAACACACGAAAAATCAACCGAAACTTAGCTCCGCACGTACTTGGAGCGGACTTATGAGAGGCATTGAAAATCTCTCGCCCCAAGATCTTTATGAAATTCTCGAGGATTTCTAAACCGAGCTAAAGAAAGTGTTTTAGTATGAGGCTTTGTCTTTAGAATTACACTTTTATCGTTTCAAATTAAAATGCATTTCCTTTCCATTTACTGTAGATCATTCATCAAAACGTCGCTCGTAGGTTTAGAGTTTTGACAGCTTTCAAGTCAATGAAATTGAACGTAATGATGCAAACTTGGGACTTGCTCGTCTTTCTCGCTCGTTTGCGAACGAAAGGAATTATTTTACTGAGAATTAAACGAAAAGTGTAGGGAGAATTAAAGTTAGAAAACTAAAATATTTAATCACATCATGGCTTCATTTTAGCAACCCTCTATAACAAGAGGATAATGGAATGTACGGTTGCTGTATGTCCGAAAGGAAGTCGCTCTTTATCTCGAAACAATTAGGAATGAATTGTGATTCAGTGAACAGATCGGACTTTTTCTAATTTCCACTTGTGGCTGCGGAAGCCACTCATGGAAATCACTAAGAAGTCTGATCTGTTCACGCGTACAATTAATCCGCTATTGTTTTCCAAACAGACCGATTTCCTATTCTTATCACTGTAACACGCATTATTTGTCAAAGACTCCGTTATTTGTCTGTATATAATTTAGTCTTAAGGTTTCTGGGAAACCGTATCGCACACAAAAACTCAAAATCAATCAGAATAGCTTTAGCCAGACCACTAAACTTTGAGAGTATACCAACAAAATAAGAGCGAATATCGCACGAAAATGAGACTATTCCGCAGTGAATCATAGTAGTGGTTATCGATCCTTCTCGTCCACAGGGACCGCGCTCCTTTTGGTCAGCAGTGACCAAAAGGAGCGTGGCCCTGGGGTAGAGAATGAACGTTGCCAAGTCTTTAGAGTGCGTGCGGACTTGTTTTACTTTTGAGTTCATTTTTATTTTTTACTTCTTCTCGTCAAACAAAGGAAACAGTGCACGTATCAAGGCAGGCTAACAGGTCTTTGGTTAAAATAACAGCTAATATAATTCCCTGCCGGTAAACCTCATAAGAGCCTATTGGACATAGGGTGGTTTTTATGACTGATTGTTTATCATAAGAGATCAAATTAATATTTGTCAGGTCTTAATTAAGTATTTTATTCACGATTAATGAAATGATATTAGTCATCGTGGAATACGGAGTCTAATCAGCCCCGTCGTGACTCCGTGAAATTCTCTTGGAACGAAAATAGAACTGCGGAGAAATACTCAAAGCTTTATACAACAATCAACGTGATATTTGGTGAATGTGGAGTGGCTGCAGCCGTTTTTACTTGAAGCTCAACTGCGGTGAATATGGACAACATTATCGCCATCTGAGGAGGCGTATTTGCGTCATTTAAAACGTCTGATGCTTATTAAATCCAATTTAGTCAGGAGCCCAATGGGCTCCTGATTCAGTATAGTACTGGAGCCGCTTCCGGACAGCTGAAGAATTAAAAAAGTCAAAACTTTTATTTAACAAAGAAATTACTGATCCGTACAAGTATAACATTAAACAAAAGTAGCTTAAGCGATTTAATCAATGAAAAACCTAAAATTCAATTTACTTTGCATATTTACTTATATTGATGCGAAACATTGGCTTATAAAAGCGTTGCTAGGCTTAGTCTGTTTACACACAACGGATTGTCTATGAAGACTTCGGATCTTAAAAGTCACCCTCTTAACTAAGGTAAGTTGTACGGTCGCCGTTTTCAAAACACTAGAAAATAGCGTCGTCAGACAACTCGCTGTATCGTATAAACAAGATTCTCTCTGACTCGAATTCTTTGAAAGTTTTTCACATTCTCATTGACTGAAGGAAAAGGTGATTAAAACTGAATATGATGTTTTACTCATATGACACTAAAAGAGATAGGGGTTGTAAAAAGTGGTACTGCGGATGTGCCCTAACTAGCGACGCTTCTCATGATTTCTGGCAGAGCTCAATCACGGTATTTTGAGTTATTCTGGCCACGAACAAAATTACCTTTAAATTGAAGGAAACCTGAAAATAATAGTTTACTAAGATAGAAAAGCACCAAAACCATAAAGGAACAAGGATGGTTAAGGATGGAGAAGAATAGTAGGGATTATAAACGACAAATTCAATTACAAATATGATTAAACGTTTCAAGATGAGCAATCCGTGACTTTTTATCTCGATTGCATACTTTTGAGTCGAAACTTTAAAAGTCATAGAACAATGTAACGTGCCAACCATAGAATGCGACGCGGATTTCACTCTATACAATATAGTTTTTGCTCTTTTACTTAGAAAACTAGACGAATAAATAAGCATAAAAAAACTCAGACATTCTTTAGAATTCAAAGATTAGGTAAATGCGACACCATCAATGATTAATGCACAATATTTTCAAACTGGCGCACGCTTATTTTCGTGCTTGTGGTCAAACCCCGAACTCAGGACGCCATGATCACAAAACGCAATTTTGACGAAAATAAATAAATAAATAAATAAATAAACAAACACCTCCATTCACTTTGATCAAAGCTACTACGAAACTTTTTGAGTCGAAACTTTAAAAGTCATAGAACAATGTAACGTGCCAACCATAGAATGCGACGCGAATTTCACTCTATACAATATAGTTTTTGCTCTTTTACTTAGAAAACTAGACGAATAAATAAGCATAAAAAAACTGAGACATTCTCTAGAATTCAAAGATTAGGTAAATGCGACACCATCAATGATTAATGCACAATATTTTCAAACTGGCGCACGCTTATTTTCGTGCTTGTGGTCAAACCCCGAACTCAGGACGCCGTGATCACAAAACGCAATTTTGACGAAAATAAATAAATAAATAAATAAACAAACACCTCCATTCACTTTGATCAAAGCTACTACGAAAAAATAAAAACTACCATCTGGTCTAATTTGAGTTCGACTAATACGCGAATTTTGGTCTAAATAGAGTTCGACTATTAAGTACACGAATTTTGCTGAAATATCATATTAACTTAAATTAAATTCCAACTAACTGTTGCTGAATTCAGCTTTCCTATTGGTTCTCTTCTTATGTGTTATCACTGACCATATTTGGTGAATCGAGACGCGATCTGTTTCAATCTATTTTTGATCTGTTTTGTTCGTCCTGACCTTTTTTTTCGACCTGACCGTTCCGACAAAACTTTTGCAATGACTAAAATTATTAAAGTAAAGGAGCATTTACCGGTCAAAATGTCAAAATTTACTACCGACGTAATACACAGTATTGGATTAAGAGTCTTGTGCCAGATCTTCAGTACAAGCGAATTGACAGGAGACGAAAAGCAGCAAATAATTCGCAGTACTGAGGCCCAAAACTAACACAGCTTTTTTTCAGAAAGTGAAAGTAGTTTGAATTGACGGTTACCACCTTACATTTGAGTCTTCTCGACGAACTTGATCGAAAGATGAAAGTAAATTCAATCCACGACATATACACAGTTGATATCTTAGACACAGTGTGCTTTAATGTCTGACCGCGAATGACTGATCAGGCGAGAAAGATTTCTTCTGTCTGGTTATTGCAGCATTAGGGTTTTTGAGAACCTTTTGGCAAGTAGGCTCGAATGCCTCTATTTGGGAATTGAGCCTGCGCTACAAAACAAGTCAATTCGACATTTCCAGTGACGTCAGACCAACAATCGTTGAGTGTATTTTATAAAAAGAGAACAACGAGACACGAAAAAGATAAAACTGACGGTTGTCCAAAGAGATTTTTAATACGTCAATTATTGCCTCCTCCTCCTTCCTTTCATATTTCTTTTAAATTTTAGCTAAAGGGGTCGACCATCTTATTTTGAGTTCTACTTCTTTCTCCCAATTGCGGTTACGAATAATTACGTAGCTTCAATTTCCACCCACTCCACCCCCTTCAAATGCACATTCTTTGCTTTCTTGGGTTTTTCACTGACATTGATTCATTGATTAAAGTTCTCGGCTGTCAAACAAAAACTAAGAATTAAAGCTGGTAATAATTTCGCTAAAAAACTTTTTCATCTTTTTCCGCTCGTTCCTTGAGCGGAAATCAATATTATTCAGCAGTGAAGTGAGGCAAGCTTTGAAGTTAAATGTCTGTTGATGATTAATAATCTAACTCCGACAGATTTGTTTGTACATGGAAAATTAAACTATTCACTAGCAAGGAGTTGCGCGAACACGTTTGACACAAATGTTTTTTTCTTCATTTTATACATGTTGTTGCCACGACAAGAGTAAAACTGCAACAAAAATGAACAAGAGAGTTACTTTTTATACTACCAAATCACTGAAGTTCACATTTAAAGTGTAAGGCATATATTTATTCTAGGGATGACTTGATTATGGATTATATTAAAGATTATTTAACCGTACTTGATGCGTGCATGTTATATTGTCTTCCGTGTGTTTATATGAGGCTGTTATGATTTAGCGCATGCAAAAAAAATAATAAATTTTGCCAGAGTTGTTAAAAACGTGCGTCACTAAAGCTTACCTAGGATTAATTGATTTACAGCGAAAACGAAATCACCTTTTAGCGAGAAATTCGTCAAGCTTTAATATTTTTATTCTCTTTTATTACACCTTTGTACCATGTCAGTCCTGAAAAAGGTACAAAAGAAAGAGCACCGAGAATTTCAAGTAAACCACTCGGGGGCCAAAAAGAACACAAATATTATTGAGATCACTGACTCGACGAGTTTAGTGTGAGCTAAGATTTTGATGATTAAGAGGACATGTGATTTCCTGTTTGGAAAAACTAATATATAAGGTGTAATTTCGGGTCCAATCTTGTTTGGTACTTTCGAGGGTTAGTTTTTAAAGGTGTATGGTATTTTTCGGGACATCTAGAGTGTCTTTTCGGATTGTACGCTTACCCTTGGCCAAATTCGAGACAAAACAACATCACTTGAGGGTTAAGCGTTTGCTATACCAGTGAATTCCGAAAAATGATTTCCGGACAATTTAAGTTTCCCCTATAATATATATTGCGAAAGGTTTGATGCTCAAATTAAAATATTCTCGTAAGTAAAATTAAAAGAAATGTCTGGTAATTCATGGCGGCCAAGGTTGTTACGTGCGCTCTACTAGGGGTGGCAAATGTGTAGCCCAATTAGGGCGCCTAGCAGGCTGTGTTTAGATAAACTTTGATTTATTGTCTACCAAAGCGGCGCCAAACTTTATTTACTTACCATAATGTTTAGATTTGACTTTATTGCTTCTTAAATCAGATATGGGATCAAATGCGTTTAGTAATTCGACTTTCATTCATTTTGTGCTGTCAAATTTACATATATGTTAGTGAGGCATAAAATAATGCTGGTGAAAAAATGTGAAGGGGAAAAAGAGGACTTCAGATTAACTATGTGTAAAATATGAGTTGAGAAACTGGCAAAGCCCTTTCTTGTTAACTATGTTTAAAATCTGTACGTAAGCAGTTGCATTGATAGGTAGGTCTTTTACAAGATATGAACAGTTATTGTCGGTTCGATCGCTCTTCAACAATAAACGAGAAAATACTATCCTCGATTTGAATCTCACAAGTTCCTGGACCCTTACAAAATTAATTTAAATTTATTATGGTGGTCGCAAGTATTAAATAGATTTAAGGCAGTAATTAAGATCTCCTCAGATTCAATAAGTTTTAACTCAACTCGAAGTCGTTAATGAATGCCAGGGAGCTTTAATTTCATAACGTAGTGTTAGCATGAACAATGGTGTTCAATTACCCAACAATAAAAACATAGTCATATTACGTCTGACACAGGAAATATTACTTGCATTTCGCATTGAAGACATAGTGGAAACGTTAACTTTTGAAGGGGAGGTTTTTGTCAGTTTGGGTAAGATATATTAACAGGTTTACGGGTTTGTGTTTAAGGGAACACAGCGGGGTACAAGCCATATTACTAAGCCCTTTACTATTGCTTTCAGTAATGTTTTTATCTATTTAAAGTATTGTTTATGACACGAAAAAGTTCGAGTTTCGTTTCGAACACGATAGGTACTGAAGATGGCCGATTAATTCTGTGTAGGAAAATCGCCGAGTGAAGCATAAAACTGCCGCTGTAATGTACCAAAACGTTCTCCTTGATGTTATCAAGGTTTCAAAAGAACGTAAACTGCTATTCGACTCAAATCAGGGCGACCCGGTCAAAGATGCGAGGTTGATTCCCTGCCAACTGGAAATCTTCCTGCGACCATTCGAAGAATTTCTTACCTGGTGTTTGCTAATTGGACGGGACTGAAACATGGCGACGGTTTCTAACATTTCGAATGACTGACAGATAGACCTATATAACCTGAAAGAAAATCTTTCAACAATTGAAGTAAATTTTAAAGATTGCGCAACATACAACTAAATACAATTCAAATTCGTACGAACAAACATTCAACAAAAATTCAAGTTTAGAAATATCCTTGATTATCAAAAAGTTTAAACCTAAGAATTTTGCGAAAGTGATCATGTTTGAAAGAAATATAATGTTTTCTGGTTGAAAAGATTAAAACATACGCTTTCGGCTATCAGTGTATATAGCCTTAAACGGATAGAAAATGTATTTTTGATCATTTTTGATAAATATAAAATGTTAATTTGTCACCAGCGTGGGACAAAGACTTGTATTTAACTGCATCTCGGTTCACTGGAACATAGTTCAAAGACTAAATTCTCGATTATTGGTCTACATGCAAGAACAGCCAGCTATTTTGCTGCGATAAATATGCCAAGGAGATTGCCAAAGTCTTGCTTTATTATACTGCAACAGAAGGGAAGAAAACGTTGACAGTGGAGAAAGCAAAGAAATATCAAATAAAAAAGTGAAATTTCACCAGAATAACTCTTTGCAGCCAGTCAAAAATCAAAATCGACTCTCATCTTTCCAATTCTGTAGTTTTTCCAGAAAATACTTGTTTTATATTTCTGTATAGAATCTTCTTATCCAAATTATTTGTACATTTGGTGACATAAGGCAACATCGTATTTCAATTAGGTAAGAAAACTTTGTATAATCTTCTAGCAGGACACAACCCCTTTAAGCATAAAACAGAGTTGATTACTCTTTTTCTTCTCATCATCACCTGACCGCTTGAAAATGGATTAATGTAAGAAGAAGACAAACTATAAGCCTATAATGTCCGAATTTCTAGAATATGAGAGAGCAATCAAGGATTTACACTACTCGTGATATTCGAAAATTCTTGAAAATTGCACTAATCTTAAGGCGAGTACAATTTTTCATTCATTAGATTTACATGCGGCAGTGCAAATCAAAAGTTAAAGATACATTTGCCATTCTCAGCCAATCACAATGAAGTAATTTTCACAGTCATATCATAAAGCATATCATAGATGTCAAAAGCTATTTTTGAACACGCAACAAAAAGTTTGATTGAAAATTGAGAAAATCTCTTTTGCAAATAACATTCAGCTTAAAAAAGTTGAAATTTAGCAATACACTCTTCTTTTTTTAATAAGAATATTATTTTTCCGGCCCAGGCTGTTATTTTTCTTCCGAAAATTCTACTGAATATCGTTAAATTACAGCGTATAAAATTCCCGTTTTATATGTCCCATCATGACTTTGATGGCGCGGAAGAAAATTCGGAGCCAGACTGCAGGCAATAAAACCTGATATGACACACATACCGTCTTGAAGAAATGTTATTAGTATCGAACATACAGCTAGTGCTGTCCTTGTTGTCTTTTGGATGTTGTGCCATTTAGAGAAAGGAAGAATGAGAAGAATTTTACACTGTTGAGTTCAAAATATATTTGACTGAATTTATGAAAACCGTGTTAAGACTTTGCACTAAAACAGCCATATGTAATTTGATTTCACAACTCAAAAAGGCCTTAAAATCACTCCAAGCAATGAAAAAAAAAAACAGATAGAAAGGACAGCACGAAAAGGAGGGTAAGAGAGTGGAGGAAGAAAACGACTGACATTCTTTTTAATTTTAACTCTGTTTTCATGAATCCAGGCAAATATCTCAACAGAACAGAACAGAAAGGCCGAAACATGAGCGCGTCGAATCACTGTCGATCTTTCTAAAACATCTGGAGTTAAACTAGGGTATCAGTTCCTGATCATTTCAGACCTTCTGTGCCAATAATTATCTCAACGGAACGGGACTAGATGACCTGGAAAGGCCGAAAAATGAGCGTGTTGAATTACCGTCGATATTTCTAAACGATCTGGAGTCAAACTGGGGCATTCTCTGATAATTTCAGATCATTTTGCACCAAAACAACCATACTGTATGTACTTTGATTTTACAATTCCAAAAGACCTTAGAATCACTTAGAATAACAGAAATGTCAAGCGATTTCAAGCATTATTTTGGATTTACAGCTGAGGAAATTTTCGAGTTTGGACATACTATATATTATCTCGATGTTTTGACATTTAGTCCACAATGAAAATAATCAGTTGTTCAGAAATGCCAAGCGACTCTAAATAATGTTTTGGTTTTGTAGTGGACGAACTACAAAAGTCTTGACTCACGGGCAAGGCTGTTCAAAACACTAGCTACCCGGCGGTCAAAAATTCGTGGATAATCAATTTCCACAAAAATCATTGTTATTATTAAAAACCTCCCGAGAGTATTTCAGTATTTTGATCTTAGGTCATGAACACCAAGCGATTTTATTCAATGATCTCAGTTTGCAAGTTGTCCGACGAACTTTGTGTGACTCACGGGCAAGGTTTTCCAAAAAAAAACTCTTTATACCCGGCAGTTAAAAATTCTTTCCGTTTTTCCTCCGAAATTTCCATTCGAACCTGCTGAGAATGCTCGATCTGTGCAGAAATACCAATGGATCTCCGAACTGCATTGAATTCACACTTCCCGGCTGCCAGGTAAAAACAAATAAAAGAATCAGGCTGCTTTTTAACACACAGAGTTACGCTCAGATGTTTACTATTCAAGTTGCTTCGTTGAGTATCCTCTTTATCCAATTGCACGTTGTTTGTCTCATCTTCCAAGTTCTGCTTACGACGATTCTTTGATTTTTCAACATCATCATTTGTTTTTTGTGTGTGCTTTACTAGTTTGAACTCGTAAATGGCTCCTTTGTTATCTCGTGAGAACGAGCGTGAACTTTGCTGATTTGCTAATTCGTGGGCCAGCCCGTGCCGAAAACGATCGACATATTGTTCGAGTCTTTCCCAAACGTTCTTCGCAAAACTCATCGTTCACATTGTTGTTCACGAAGAGTGAGGGCTGTCGCATTCTCATCCCCAGTTTCCTCGTACTACGCTAGGAACGTCTGGGACCATGACCCCACATTTGGCGACCAAATACAACGACGACGACGAACGGCTTGCATTTTTTGACTCGGGCCTTCTTACGGAAGCCGGAGTAAATAGAGAGAGGAGAACACGAAAAGGAAGAAAGAGAGCGGAGGAAAATAAGTGACATTCCTTTTATCTTTATATCATTACTTTCTCTGGCGAGAATAAAAAAAAAAAGCACTTGATTTCTTTATCACTGTTTTCATAAACCCAGACATATATAATTATATCGTATTTACAACACAGAAAATTATGTTATCTTCAAAATCGCAGCCTTGGGTTTATTCTTAAAATATTTCTTAAATTTTGTAAATTTCAGCTTTGATATTCTTGTAAAATGCATTCTTACACAAAACGAGTGTAGTACAGAATGAGCAATAGAAAACTTGTTATCAAGAGACAAATATTGATAACTATTCCTTATTAATTGAAGAGAAAGCAGATTAAGAACAAGGTTGAAGTTTTCAGTCCATTCTCAGGCTAATGCTCGAGTTCAAACAAATTGAAATTTAGCGGTATAACAAAATGGCCATTACAGATCATTACACAAGAAAATTAGTTGGGAACATATTAATCTGATATTTTTAGCTTAAAACTAAAAGTGGTAGAA